GGTCTTTTGGAACAGGAGCATTTTCCAGATCATTCTTGAGTACTGTACAAGTGCTGAGATTACTCAACTCAAAAGATGGTTCTGACTTGTTGATTCCCCCGACTCCAAGTGAAGTTTTTAATCTGCAATAATGAAAAGAAACAATATTAAAAAGGAAAAATCATTGTCATTTCCTTTTACCATTTCCAAATGTGGATAATCATAAAGAACAACTGCAACAACCGTACTAGTCCAAAAAATTGAAAAGTAAAATATTTGCCCAATCCAAAAGTCTCTCTATGCTCAAATACTAAATAGTAAAAAACTGCAAACCTCAAGCAGAATGACAAATTAGAAAATTTATTTTGATATTTTACATATATGTCTACCTGACACCTTGTACATCACAAGAGCGTAGCTTAAGATCACCGCTCAGCTTTGGATGCGTAGCTCGTTGTATATCCCGTTCGCCACCTGTAATTCTATGACTCACTGCTCCTACCGAACGTTTCTTTTTTACTTTTTGATCCAACCCTTCACCTCGAGCAAGCAATCTACGGGACTTTTCTTCAATCCTAACAGAAGCCGCATTAACAGCCTGAGGCATTTTTTCATCCTTGTCTGTGACTACCTGCTGCCTTGAGGTAGCAGCTGACCTAACATCTGCCTGATATCATAAAGAAAATGTGCACATCTTAAGATATGTATATAGAAGTTTGCACTGATCATCACCTAAAGAAGCATGAAGCTAAAAACTAAATTAAAAGAATTAATTTAGTATAGAATACTGGTCCACTAAATGCATGAAAACTCGTCAATCAAGACAATTAATTGTGACAGGAATCTGACTACAAAGCATGAAAACACACCAATTAATTCATATAGCCACAGTTTAACCATTACATGCATGAAAACTAGCCAATCAATCTAGTACAGAATTCTGGTTTTAAAAGTATGCTTGAATTAAGCTTCTCTTATTTTGTACTTGCTATGGTTTTTTTTTCCTTGAAATATAAAGACTAAAGCGGGTTTGTTTCTTATGAACTACGAAGCTAAAGTAGAGCAACATTAAGAAAAAAAAAATTGCTAAAGGAAATCTAAATCAAATATAGCTTTTGCTGCATTCAATGTCGTTTAAAAAATAAATAAAAAATTGCAAGCGACACGGACCTAATTAAGTTGGATAAATCACAAGTAAATCTGAATACTAACCCGCACATCAGCCACTGACGTCCTAACACGTTTGTTGAACCCAACACTCTTGGTCCTGTCTTCTAATCTTTGAGTCATATTTTCACGAGGATTTTTATAAATCTGACTTCCCAGTTTCACTATGTTTACTCCATTGGACCTCTCACTTGATGAAAGATCACTACGCTGTCTCTTCTTTGAGCTTAAAGCTTCTTTGTACTTATCCAATTTGAAAATAGATTCACGCAACATTTTTGCTCTGTCCCTGGTAGAAAAAAAAAAGATTGTTAATATATGTTATCGAAATTCTTAGAACATTTAATCATTTCATGTAACGATGCGATAATCAAAATATCAACAGAGATGATTTACTACAATTATGTAATTATCAATGGAGATGAGTTACCACCAACATCAATGGAAATGGTTTGCTGTAAATTTACACTTAAATATAAACAATACCAAGCAGCACAACTTCAATTACCAAATGCACCATTTTGATTGAGCAAACATCCTTAATTACTTTCGAGACACGAGCAACAGCTTCAATGATGTATAATTCAGTTGCAAAAACTGTCAACGCAAGTAGTAGTTGTAGGGTGAACACACAATACCTGGCCCTTCTAGAGGCATCTTGCACACTTTCTTTGAAGTGCTTTAGCTCCTCAGTTGCCACCGGAGGTGGAGGTTTCGAATGGCCAACTCCAAGAGAATGGTCATCTGTTATACTCCCAAGAGGAAGGCCCAGAACCCTACTTAGTTCTCCTGTGCGGGTGTACTTTTGATTACTTAACATAATAGGCTCCAATGGCAAACATTGGGGCAAAGAAGGCATAGTTGATGACAGTGTTGCACTACTGCAGTTTACATTATTCCCAGAATTTAGCATTAGTCTCTCGGTTCCTTACCTAAGCAACTTCTGAACCTGTCCTAAATCAACTCGAATATATTAGTACCTGTTATCACATAATGACCAACAAAAGGAGTTAGCGTCTTATCAAGTACCTACCTGTGTCAACAAGCAACTACACTGCAGTAAGCTAAAATATCCACTAATTGAAAGTGCAAAATGCTAAAGATAACTTCTATTCAACAAGCATATAATGCCGGTAGCTAGATCCAAAATGGCCACTTGAGAGAACCAAGAATGCAACCTCAATTGAGCCTCACGAAACCCTTTTGCCTATTTGGGTAATGTTAAAATTTACGGCATCAGAAACGCAAGCAGATGTTCTTTAATTTCTTTTTCCACAACTCTCTGGGTAACCAAAGCTGAAGATGTCTAGTTGGATCAAAGCCCATTGTACTTTGATCACATCTTTGACATTAAAATATCAAATTTTGCTATAAAAAAAATTTAAAAAAAAAAAACAATCATAAATTACTCCAAGGGCAAACATTTCGACATAACGAAATTTTAACTTCTAAAATTTCCATATTCTTCCCGAAAAAAGAAATTTAAATTTATAAAACAAAACTCCATCCAACTACACCCAAACCCTTTTGGCTCAGAATTTTAAACTTACATTTTCCCTTAATTTCCAGGGTTTTCCAGCAGCAAAAACTTACATGAGACTTAGAAAGAATTAATTAATAAAAAATTAACAAATCCAAACAGCATGCTGAGCCCTAAGCTGACCACAAATAGAAAAGCTAGGGTTTGGGCTAAATTCAGGCGAAATTTAAACGGAAAATATATGAAATGAAGAAATTTTGAAAAGGGAGGATTGGAAGAGTACCTGAGATTCAAGCAAGTCAAGATCAGATTAAAGTTCAAACCACGGCAATCGGGGAAAGAGGAGTACGTAATTAAAGCGGGAGAGATTAAGTCGAGCTGTATATATATATATATATAAAGTTATAAACACACACGTTTTACTCTGTATAAAATATAAATACGCACACCTTAATAATAAAAGAGTAGAACTCTCCTCCTCTTTTTGTCTGTCCCCTTCTCTTTCCTCTTATTTAAACAGTTACGGTTAAGTCACGTCAACATCTTATATTAATTTTTTATAGCAAGAGAAAAACAAAATAAGAGAATGTGAGAAGATGGGATGAAAAGATGAGGGGAGAGAATCATAATCCAATAATAAAAACGTATACGGATTGGTAACCAATAAAACGGATAGAGATTAGATTTTATTTTAAAAACAGTGTGGTAATCATTTCGTTTTTAATTTTTTGTTTAAGTTCCAATAACTACCTAACTCTTATAGATGATTTTAAATTGGTCATAACCTTTTAGAATATTTTAAATAACTACCCAACGTTTTGAAAAATGCATATTTGTTTTTTTATTTAATGGAACTAGTTGGTAGTTTCGCCAGAACAGTCTACCCTTCCAGGAGTCGAGAATATTTCCGCCTCCTCCTGGCCACCATTGTGGGATTCAATAGCGTTAGGAATCAAACTCAAGACGTGTCATGTAAGATACGAGCCTAATTCGTTCCCAGCTACTAGGTCACCCCATGGTGGTTGAAAAATGCATACTCGTTAGGTCACTAGCATTAAGTGATGACGTCACTATCATTAACTAATGATGTCATTCACGATAAGTCATGGTGTGAACAAATACTAAAACTAATTTTTACTAACACGTCATTTACAGACTTCTAAACTCGCAAATAAACTCCTCTTAGTAAAGTTAAACACTAATTTTGTCTAGTTAACAGAGATAAGTTTGGAGACTTAGAGCTCTATATATGATATGAGAGTGAGATCCCACATCAATACTTGTTCAGATCGTCACTAACGTTCGTGACCTAATGAATACCTAATTTTTAAAACGTTAGGTAGTTATTTGGAATTCTTATTTTTAAAACCTATTTGGAATTATCCTTAAAAGTTAGGTAGTTATTCGTACTTCACCCTTTGTTTTTTTTTTTAACTGAAAACTTGTATTGTAACTATTTACTTTATTGATTTTTCAAAATTTAGCTGTCAATTTTTATTTTTTTGAAAACTAAAAGTAGTTGTCAAATAAGTTTTCAATTTTTTATTCTCAAAAAAATAGAAACTAAATACGAAATTCACTTTGAATTTTTTTGTAATTTTATAGGAAAGTTTTAGTTTAAGAAATGAATTATACACAAGATGGAGAATGGTGGTTGTGTATTTGCAATCACGAAAGGAAAGATATGTAAGATTTTGTGTTTTGTATGGTGCGATCTAATTTCTCTTCCTGTTTTTCGATCCTTTTATGTTAGACTTATTTGATAAATGAAAATTCAAGAGCTACAGTTGCTCAGTAAAAGAACAGTTACATTTCACAAGGGAAAGGGGATGTCCTTCCATAAGGCATGAGCATAGAGAGGCGTATGTGGCATGTTGTCGTTGGTTCAAGACTTTTAGTACAAACCATTATCCCACCCATCAAGTCAATTAGTCGTTTGTTTTAGACGTTTGATTTTTGGGAGACGTGATGAATATGGTAATTAAGAGCCTTCACATTTTGCATCTCTAGAACTTGAAAGCTATATAAATAGAGTGAACCACCACATTGATTGTCTCTACCCTACCACCATTGTTACCATAACATCTTACCCTCATCGTCGCCACCACCACCACTCCCTACCATCATCGTCGCCACCACTACTCCAACCACCATAACTGCAAGTTAAACATTTTTTTTTCCTTTACTAAACGGTTTTGTACATGAAATTTTGAACATGAGGTTTACTTTAGTCATATACATAGCTAGTTTTACATAAAAAAACAACCCCAACACTGTGACTCTACTTTTCCCATTCAAAACATTGTTAAAAAAGATCATGTATTATGCATCGACCTGTGACGAAATATAAAATTATTTATCGACTTAAATAGAATTTCTTGATAAAAATATATACTGATTTGGGCTAGTCCCACTTTATTCATTTTATTATTGCAGCATCATCCACTTATTTCTACAACCATATCCTACGTATGAAAATTGACACCAATTCCCTTGTTGCTACATATTACAAATACAATTTACATATTTTCTTGATCAACTTTTTGCCACCTTGTGTGCCCTTTTTGCCACTTTGAATTTCATTCACTACGGCAAGCTTACAGCCCTCCTCATTGTCCTCAACTTTTCTGCCAACTTTTGTGCTCTTGTGGATTGTTTAATCTCCTTCCTCCTCAATACCTGCCATATGTAAATGACACAAGGTTTGTTAGAGTTAAATGTTGATTCTGGTCCTGTAATTTCAATGACGTTCCACCTTTCGGATTTTCACAATGTTAAACTTGTACTGTGCTGCTTGTTGCAACTCAAAGACAATGGCTTAAATTCATCAATGCTTTCAACGAAATTAGCATGTCGGTGGTACATATGCAGGTAAGTTGGGTTTTTTTCGAGTTGAAAAACACAATGCGCCCTTGACATGCTAATTTTGATCAAATTTGCAACGATATTAACTTATTGTCTTATATTAACTTATTGTCTTTGAATTGAAACAATTAGTAAACTAAGTTACCATCATTCTGATTACTAAAACTATAGGTATCAAAGTGCAACTTCACCAAACTACCGGGACCAAAATCATAACGTAGAGTTTTACTAGTTACCTCTTGCTTGCGCCTTTTTTCAGACTCGTCCTATTCCAAATAAAGGTGAAAAATGGTTCATTAGTGAACTTAAAAAATTGTATTCAAAGCAAGAGAAAGAATTTTCTTGTGTATAATACCACACTTTGCTTCAGCCTTGTGTTCTCCTCTTTAAGTTGATTCAACTCAGCTTCCAATTCCACAGTGTATGCCTGTAAGTAGTAATAATAATGCAGATTAATTAAGGAGAGAGGAATCTTGGATTCCATTCAAGTAATCATATACATTTCTCTTCTACTACAGGATCCTCGGGTACGCAATATTATTAGGTCCCGGCCCACCATAGAAACCATTTAACCGTCTGATTATTATCATAATCATTCAAGTGTTTCACTAACAAAAATGTTGTGTTCGTTCATTTATATCACAGTTTGAGGTCTATATGGTTTTTAATTTGACTAACTCTTTCTACGGATGATCCTTCGATGGAGACTGAATAGATAACTCATAAACTAATTATATATAATGTGGAGCGGGCCTCACTGTGCATATAAAGTAGCTTTAACTAGTTAGTAACTAAGTAAGGCATTGACTACTCGTTTGGACCCATCATTAACTACCTGAACAGTTCATTTTTTTAGGTCAACAACCAAATATCATCCTTTAAAAAGTTCACTTGAAGCAGAAACATTTAGCCATATGATTACAGTCGTGAACATTTCATCGTTTATCGACAATGTAGGGTCATGTTGAAGATGTCACAATTTGAAAACTACACTTCTTTTTTTTTTTTATTTGAGTGAATTTTTGCAAATATGATCTTGTAGTCACAGCCTTCACAATGTTAGGTTCATGATCAAGGAGGAAAGAGACTCGAGACGTCCACTTTGGAAAAAGTAATGCTACTGGCCTAAATAGGAAGGATAATGCAAGGATCTTTTACAAAACAAATTTTAACGCCCCATAGTGTGATTAATTGTAATGTATTTTGTTTTTTTTTTTTTATACACAAGCTATAATCTACCAAAACAATTTATAATTTATGGAGGGGATGCGAACTCAAGGTGCATAGGGGAGCATATCTGCTCTAGCCAATGTGGCTAACCCCATGTATAGTAAGAAGTGTGAGATTTTTTAGAGTGCTAATAACATCTCTTTTTGTGAAGGGGAGCAACATGGAGTTAGCCACACAATGGGCCAACCATAATCTGCATTGAACTTGCAACAATGTGAGTTGAACTTGGAACCTCTCATTTACAAATGGAGATGATACCACTAGACTCTTGTAAAGTGATCATCTACAGCAACGTAAGAGTACCGACTAACTATTGTTCTAGTTGTTCTAGTCGAATACTCTTTTTCATTTTGTCAAGTGATGTCCCAAAGTTTGATCCTCCTTATTTATCTTGGATTGATAGCTCTAATACTGTCATGGCATATATACTGTCAACGTGTTTCACACTTGGGAAAGTATATCCTTCTGTTTTGGTGCTCTAGTTATGTCATTAACTTGCTAATATTTGTTTTTATCGTAGTTTTATTTGTACTTTGACACTTTATTTTGCTTGGTAACTCCGGCAAATCTTAAGTTTCCAATTTTTCGTCATGATATATTACTTGCAAATTATTTTGTAAAAGGATTCAATATTGGTAAAGCCACAACCATAAGTTTCATCTACGATCTTCATATGCATTTTATAAGACTATAATTGACTATAGTACCTGTTTCCTGGCACGAGACCTAGCCGCAGACTCTCGATTCTTGATCATCCTGCGTTGCCTCCGCTCCACTACTACCTCTGGTGGACCGTCTATGATCCTCTTCTTGTTCTTTGCCCCACCCCCGCTACTCGATTCTGGCAAACTATGACATTTCTCAATGTCACTAAGACAAAATGATTCTCCCATGCTCTGTGTACCAAACATTGGGTATGTAGTACCAATTGGATATCCATTTCCGGAAAATAATTCGTTTTCCATAGCGTTTTGGGGGTTTAAAAATGCTGAGGCAAACACTTGCCCCCCAATTCCAAAATCTGCATCAAATCTGTTACCACAATGCAGTTGAATTGGGGTGCTTGCCACTCTCTTCTCAGAAGGCTTGGACTTGGACGGCGACTCTTGAACAACCCCGGCTTTTACAAGGAAATCTTCTAGGGTAATTTCTCCGATTGTTTGCTGGCGCTGCGGAGGTCCAGAAGGACCAGAACTGCCAATGCTGCTGCTGGGGTCATGGAATCGTGGTCGACTTTTGTCAATTTCAGACCACACCTCATCTACAGTTTTCTTGCAGAGCGGGGTGGGAATACAGAACGAGCCCTGTCGAGACAAAGTCTTGGGCTGGAAAGTTGTGTCCTTCTCATTGGCAGAATCTTGATCACCTTTGCTTGGTTCTTGGTCTTCTTCGACGCTCCAAATGTTGGCAAGGAACTCGTCCATGTTCATGGACCCGAAATTCCTCCCACTCTTGCATTGAATTTCATCAAGAGTGAGTGAGAATATGGAGTTGTGTTTAGTACTATTCATTGAAGGGTGAGAGCTGTCTTTCGACAATCCTTCTTGTTGTTCTAGCGGCAGATCAAGTTCCATGTTGTCATTACCATTGTGATCATAGCCATCGCTTCCAGACTCTTCAGAAACCACCATTTTATCATAAAATGGAGCAAATCATGTAAGTTATGTTATTTTTAAGGTAAGATGCTTAAATCTTAAGCTTATATACAACGATAAAGGCTGAATTAGCACCTGCACCCAAAAAAAACCAGAGAAATCAGTTTTGAGTCTCTGCATGCAGTGGAGTTTCAGTGAAATAAATTTCCAACTTCATCAAATCAAAATAATATTAATACCCCAACAAAAATAAATCAAAAGATAACTAAAAAAACAGGCACGAATTCATGTTAGGGATCAAGAAATCTATGCCATTTTCTTTTTGTTTTTTCTTTCCGGCTAGCATTTTCATCAGGGAAATGATAACCGCACACCTTATTTCTCCTCTGCACACCCCACTTCATGCCTTGCCATTTGATTAAACAAATTAAACAGAAACAACGGCCAAGGTTAAATTGTGCGCGCGCGCGTGTAGAGCTGTTTTAAGAGCATTCACCCTACAGCCGAGACCGATTAAGAACACTTTCATATCACAAAATTATATTAAATCGCTGATTACTTTTTCCAAGAAATCAAATACCAGAATTTTCAAGTAAATAAGTAAAAAGGAAGAAGAAAAAAAGTACCTGAGGGTGATCTGCTACAATGGAGCCGCAGAGAGCATCCCCAGGAGGGGACTTGAATGGGAGGAGGGAGGAGAGTCTGCAAGCGTAACTGCCACTGTCATTGCCACTGCCGCTTTTATATTTAACTGGGGTCCTTTTTCTTGTGTGGACCCCGCATTGTTGTGCAGTTGCTGGACACGTTCGGTGCCACATGCCCGTTTTCTTCTGGGGGAAAGTGGCAGAGTTAGATGCTCTGCTCAGCGTTTGATCATGTCAGTCACCTGGGTGTGATCAACATTTTAATCCCATAAACAGCCAACATTTTAGTTCGAAAATGCTAATTTTACATGTGGCCTTTACGATTGATTTGGGTGACTAGCACGCGCTACACTTTGTGTGTCGAGGCCACATTTAGGATCGGTTTGGTATTACTGTATTTTTTTTATACTATTTCCGCTGTATTTTAAGAATAATTAACTGAGCATTAGGTAAACTGTATTTTTAAAAACGTTGTGAAAATGAAAAGCAGCATAAAAACGTTTGGTAAATTTTAATGTAGACATGGTATAATTGTACATAATAATAAAAATGGACATGATAGTAGGGGTGATGACGACGATGGTGACCATGGCAATAGTTGTGATGGTGGGAGTGATGGTAGGCTGCAAAGATAACAATGGTGATAGGATGCCGGCAACGATCATGGTGGCAGTCGTGGTTATAGTTGTGGTGATAGCGGTGGCCATTGTGTTTATAGTGATGGTGAAGACGGTTACGGCAATGATGATAGTGATAGTGGTGGTAGGTAGGAGACAAGCTTCTTCATCCCTACCGTATGAACTCATCTCATCTTTCACATACTAATTTTCTACATGCTAGTGCATTGTGAGAACCCTTCAGCCGTACACATTAAGCATTGCGTAAAACAAACTCAACGACAGTTCATCAAAAACTCGACCTGTGCCCCGAGGATTATCCTTGAAACAGATTTATCGCCACTGTAACATCCTAACAATGACAATAAACCCGTTCCATGTAAATTCTATTTTAGACAACCAAACGTCTTTTTTCTTTCTTTCCCAGAAAGTGATTTTCACCCCCTTTTCACAGACCCCGCTTTATTTATAATCATAAGATTGAATAACTTAAACGAAATCAACAACCGAAATTAACAAGATTATGTAACAGATTAAAAAAAGGCGTGTGAAAATGACTTCTCTTTTTCTATTACATATGTATGGTATATATAGGACATAGAAAAACAATAGCAGGTAAAAACATGTACTTTTTTCATTTTCTTTCACGAAAGGTACACAGCTGATAACTCCATCCATTGTCAAAGAAACCAAAAAAAGAGACAAAAATACGTGCTACATAATCACTACAAAACAACAAGAGAGTTAGAGCAGAAAGGGGCAGTAGTAACAAAGTTCCAACAGAAGGTTACGAACTTCATTCCGACAGGATGACAATCTCCCCATGAACTCGATCGGAGGTCCCCGTGCTTCATGAGCTTTCACGTTACAAAATTGTGTTTTACGTCGAAATGGGACCTTCATTTATCTTTGTTATCATCTTGTGGGAGTTGTAAACCCATTAGCCCAAGCAAATTGGAAGCAGGACCAGGAAGGCCTTGTTGACTAGAAAATGAATCGAGAAGACTCTTTACGAGATTCACATCCACATCCACAGGAGTGAAATCCTCCTCCATATCTTCTGTGGCATGCGACGTTCCCTGCATACACAAATTCAATTCATTTATCATCCCACGAACAAAAAGGTTATCTATTAAAACCAAGTTCATTTTGGAAGAAAACTGCATGATTTAGTGCTAGTCCGAGGAATTATGCAGGCCGTAACCCTTCAGTAAGACCACATGTATAGCCACAAAGAGTCTCGCTGAAAATTTTCAGTGAGACCACCATGTGTGACAAACAAAAAACTTTGGAAAGCTAAATTTATTTATTCATACGCAACCATATGAGGTCAAACATATAAGAATTAAAAAAATTCAACCATACCTCATCTTTCTTTGGAGCTTGTTCATCAGCACAAACAAAACTTTTCTTGAGGGTTGTAGATTTCAACTCTTCATTTAAAGCATCAGAATAAGAATGCATGAAAGTATCTTCTCCATCCTCACTTTCATCTTCGGACTCATCTGTGAATAGCAAACAAAGCAGCTTAACAACATTATGATCATGCAACTCAAATCAAAACATCACTCCATCAAAAAAAGCATCACATAACAAAGTTGGGTCGTCCTTCAGATTGGTATAAAACTTGCGATGTATCACTATAATCTCCCCTTTTTTTGCATGAAATTTCAGTTTTTACACAAGTGATGAAAGGAGAATCTTGGTTGTTGCTTCACAATTTCCATGAGCATGAACAACATAACTCAGTTTTCTTTGTTCGGGATTTCAAGGGTTATGCCAAACATCCTTCTTTAGTTTATTAGATGATAGAGAGCAGACAAATAGAGGCATGAAAGGAATTAGACAGCAAGCTGTGCCTCTTTCCTTTAGAGGGAGGGCAAAAGAATTCCATCTACAAGCTGAAATCGATATTTCTGAAAGCCCTATAACAGTTTGTCGTGCATTCTAGAAAAGATTGCATGTCTTTTCAAGAACATTTTAAATGTTGAGCATTTATTAGATAGTTGTTTAAATTTAACACAAAAGGGTTTCAATTAAACCTGTGTGCTTAGGAATGGTTTTCTTTTTGTTCCTTGTTTTTTTCCTCTTGGTGAGCGCACACAATTTACTCAAAGTTTTCAATTTTGAGACCATTACAATATTTGAAAAATTAAGTCTATTAAGGGAATGATAGAAAGATATACAACTTACCGAAGTCCAAGTCGGATGAGGACCCTTCCTCATTATCATCATCACTAGCAGCATCCTCGTTGCCTTCAAACTTCATTATTGATTCTAGATCTTTATAGAAACGATCCACGTCAAAGTCCACTTCTTTTAGGTTCCTTCAAAAGAAGATTATAAAATATAAAACAATCAACTGCGTGCTCATCTTTCAATCAATTAATAAACTCACCAACATCTAAAAACTAACTTAATACAAGAGTCTACTCATAAGTGACCGGGAAACTTTATCAAATTCATGACCAACCAGAGCTTGGGAATAATCACTTCACATAATCAAGCTTGTAGCTTGATATTGAGCTTGGTTCATCAAGGAAAGTCACTACAAGAACTCACTCTAGATTACAACAGCAGTAAGACTGAGCAAAGCAAGAGCTACATGGGCTCAAAATCCGCACTAAGTTTTAAGTAACTTTGCAGGTAACTTTAGTCACACAATCTAATCCTACAATTACTGTACATACATCGAATCCAGCAAGCAGAATTTTTGCAACTGCAAACCTAGGAGATGCAAGTTTATTTCTTAGATAGGAGATACATTCTAAGGGTCACTGCACTACATGATGGCAAATGGGAGCATTTAAAAATTAGCCGCCACCACTAGAAATATATGCTCATTAATGTTAAAGTGATCTTATTTCTGTGTTTGCTGAAAAAAATGGAACCAAACCCATGAACAATTCACATGGAAACACAAGTACACTAACCTGCTCTTGGGAACCTCAGCTCCCTCGTAGCTTGACATCTTCTGGACAAATGCCTGCATGGTTTTTGCTATATCACCCGGATTGAAACCATCAACGTTAGAACTGGATGATGGACCAGCATCGTCCTGCTCTTTTGACTTCTTTTTCTTTTTTGAGTCATAATGTTCCATCTCCTTTTGTCTCTCCAAAAGTTCTGAGTTCAACTCATCCTCTCCATTGTAAAGCCAAGAATCATCGTCAGAAGGCGGAACCTCTTGACCCCTAAAATCATCTGCTGAATAAGGTAAAGCCAGAATCTCATCTATGCGTCTCACTGGAGCACTCATCATCTCACTGCAAGAATGGTAACGCCTTAGTTAATTGCCAACACTTAAAGAACAACAAAGATCCAATTAAGAACGGCATCTAAACGCAAATGACATTCAACCCAATTTAAGTCTTTGCATCTAATATCGACAGAAGCATAATGCTTATACATTACTACCATATTCACTATTCATAAAACAACTATACTACCACCACAATGATAAAACCATACGTACCTTGCCCTCGAAAACAAAGCACTACTGCGATAATACTCCTCTGCATTCTGCATCAACCTCTGGTACTCTTTCGATCCGGGAAGCAACCCTTCAAAGTATCCACTCCTCTCCAAAGTCTCCTTAAATGCCTCCCAACTACTGCCTTTCCCTTCCAACCCTTCCTTTCTCCTCTGCTGATACATCATCTCCATCCCACACGCAATCTTCATCCCCAATTCGGCCTCCATAAACGCTGCCCCATCCTCGCTCCTATTTGGCATTGGATAACACTTGGGCGCCTGAAACGCCTGTTGCACCAGCTGAGCGTACATTGCCCTCGACATCTTCACCGATACGCACACCAACTCCTCCTCCCTCCCTCTGCTTAAGAACCTCTCCATCTTCGCCGCGTACTTCATAGTATCGATATCACGGTCGTAGAAACCCTCAACGGCCAAGGCAATCAGGCACGGTTCCTGACTCAATACCTGCGCCACCGCCGCCGGAACCCTAACCCTAACCACATGCATATTCCTCCTTGCCTTTTCCGGATACTCCAATATCCGATTCTTCACTGCAAGCTGAACCCGTTCAGCTGCAATTGCCTCCTGCCCGAAATTCACAATGAAATTCAAGGAGTCGGTGAGGGTTGGGTTCGGGATTCGAGCTTTGGGGACGATGTGGAGTTGGCCTTGGCGAATAAACACGCGATTGAGGCTGTTTTGGGGGTTGAGCCACCGAGGGAGGTGGTAGGCGGCTTCGATGAGGAGGAACTCGCCGTCGGAATCCCAGACTCTGATGGAGAGGTCGCGGAAGGTGGAGGAGATATGGAAGAGAAGAAAGACAATGAACCACTCGTCTTCGAAGTTGTCGGCGATGCGGAGCTTGCCGTGGAGGTGGGGGAGGTGGCGGTCGGCGGAGCAGAGACAAGACGGTTTTGGGAGCGTGGATAGGGAGAGGGAGAAGGGTTCGTGCTGCCATATGTAGTCGGCAGTGAGGGGAGTGAGGGTTTGGAGGATTTGGAGGTGGAGGGATTGGAGGGAAGCGGTGGTGGTGGAGGAAGTCAGGGAGGAGTCGGGAAAGATGGCGTAGAAGACGGTGTCGTCCGGGAGTCTGGAGGCTTTTTGGGAGAAAATGGAGGAAGCTGATGGGTTGGGGCCTGCTGGTGGTGGTGCTGCTGCCGCCATTGTTTTGCAGTGTGTCACTCTGTGCTGCATATTTCTGTAGTTCTGCTGCTTGAGCAAATTTTCTTTAATCAGAGAAATAGTAGTTAACTAAAAATCTATTATCGGTCGTTCAACTCATTAAAATGTATGTATACTTATAATCATTTTTATCAATTTCGTTAGAATTTTATTAAAATAAGTTAGGTTAGAAAAATCATTACTATAATTGGGATCCTCAACTCATCAAAATGTATAGCTATAGTCATTTTCGTCAACTTCGTAAGAATTTTGTCAAAACGAGTTACGTTACAAGGATCATTGCTATAATTGAGTTACAGTTGAGGACCATTGCTCCAATTTGGTCAAAAGTAGAGGGATCATTTCTCCAGTTGGATTAAAGGTGAGGGACCAATAATAATAGATTTTTAATTGATGAAGCATTACTACAATTGAGTTAAAGTTAATATATCATTGCTACAATTTACTTTGCTGCTTTTTAAGAACGTTCTAGCCTTTTATTATTATTATTATTATTATTTTTAACAATGAACGTTCTAGTCTTAAACAATTGACTCTAAACCTATTTCAAGAGGGTGGTGGAACATGCGAAACTAATGCAATAAATTATTACAAACAGTTGGAGTCCTAAAGATCTAATTATATCTTTAAATAAATGAATTCCAATCGGTCCAAGTGATTTTCAAAATAATAGTATCTAAGATTCAAATTTTAACTCCAATTGACAAAGGCTGTCAGCCACAATATTCTTCTCGATATGAACCAACTTGCAATCCGTTGTCCACCTTTAATTACCATTCATCTTTTTTTTTCATTTTTTTTTCTTACACCTTGTTAAATTTTGTCTATGATTTTATTCAATTCTTTCTATCTAACAACCGGAAATTGAGAGTTGTGTTAGAAGTAAAGATAGGTACGTGGATAGTGTCATCATTTATTTTATCGTCTATTTTAATGTAAATATATTGTTATATTAAAAAACAATATTTTCGTCTCATTCTTGTGCTTATGGTTCAATGACGTTTGCCTGACTAGAATACAACTATTTAATTTATAATACACACCAGATTCTAGATTCTTGCAAATGCCCAACCAATATACAAACTATCTAATTCTACAATCGCATGAATTCTAGCCAATTGTTTTGTGTGTTTATCTCTAGAAGTTTTGTACAGGAGAAAAAGAAGGAAGAAGGTCTTCAATCATATAGGCTATTTCATATCCTTTCAAATTCTTGTTGAATGTGTTTGAAAATACACAGCGAACAGTTGTATCTCTTTAACCAAACGTTTTTAATATGGGGTACAATTTGGGCAAGCCCAAATCACAGCAACCAGCAGCCCAGGCATTATCCTCATTCCAACAAACCCAATTCTAATTACTAATCTAACTTACAATTTACAAATCTATTATGCCACTTAAAACTACGGTCTAGTAGTGTTCATTTTCATTTGTAAGTAAGAGGTTTTAGATTCGATTTGTTAACATCACAAAAAAGTTAGGTGTTTATAGTCAGGAAAGTGTCATTTTCCATATAAAAGAAAGAAATTGTCTTTGCCCTTCAGATCTTTTCTTTATCATTCATGAATAAATTCGTTTGCAACTCGTCATTCATAAGATTCGAATTTAAAACTCGTTACTTAGAAATGAAAGGAATGCTATTAGATTATAGTACTAAATAGAGGCCTTGCATGAGTTGAACCAAAGACATTTCATCTACAAGTGGAGACAAATACTATTGAACCACGCTGCCAACCTTTTAATTTAATTGAACTCAAACTTACTTAGGGGACAATGCTTAGGGGAGCTCACGAAGCAAAGAACTTTACCCGGGGAAATAAACTGACATATTGACTACTAAATAAGTTGGGGATCAAGCCGATGTCAGTAATGCAGTTTTTGGTGATGCTGAGCAGAAGCAACTAGGTAACTCAGACATGAAGCAGTATTGAATGAGCTTAAAGAGGCTGTCTTTGATGCCGAGGACTTGTTGGACCACATCAAGACAGAAGCGTTACAACGCAAAATGGATGCCGAAGAAGGAGCTGGAGCTAGCTCAAGTAAGGTACAACAGCAAGATTCTTTAATCTTGGAAGCAGGTCCTGGACACATAATCTCACAAACACTACCTTCAACTTCTTTGGTTGAAGACTCTGATGTGCATGGAAGAGATGAGGACAAGGAGACCCTCATTAGATTATTGCTAGCAGATGATATTGACAACAAGATAGGTGTGGTTCCCATTGTAGGCATGGGTGGGATCAGAAAGACCACCCTCGCTCAGTTCTTTATACGATGATGTAGGAGTGAGGCAACATTTTGAGCTCCGAGCATGGGTTTGTGTTTCAGAAGAATTTGATGTACAAACTTGTGAGAGTAAGAGCATTGTTACTACCCGGAATGAACGTGATGCATCTGTGATGGGTACTTTTGAAGCCCACCGCCTGATGCAAATATCAGGGAAACTACCGTTACTTTTCTTCCCAAGCCCTGAACGGCTGGACTTATACGATGTTAATATAGAATCCTTTGCTTGTTCAGAAGAATCTATTAAACTCGTATCCCTCTGCCAGCTGAAATTGTCCAGTTGTTCAAGTCGGTATGTTTTGTTGGTGGAATGTTGGTTGCACCCAAATTGACGGAGATATCAATCTCTCGATGTATGAACTTGTGGTTACTGCCAAAAGAGATGCACATATCAATCTGTCTATGTATGATTGTAACCTAATGCACCTGTGTACATAATACAAGGCATGCTTTAAACACACTCCGAATCCTTTCTGATAAAAGTCTACTAATTAAAAGCTTATATTGGTGCATCTGAGATTACAGTGCTATTGCCAGTCCCCTACACGTGCAAGAGCGATTTCTGACTATTCGTCCATGTGGAGTCCACACTTTGTCACCGGCCAGAAATCATCTACACGCATGTAGTAACTGACCTTAGCCAAATGCCTGAGCTTTAGAGTAACTGTGTGTAACGGAGCTAGGTTAAACCACAATTTGCCGGCTTCATTACTAAGGTTATCTTTAGGTAAAAAAGATGTTACTTGAGAGAACGGCAAACTCCGCTGATATATGAGATGGATGGATAATTTTCATAGCTGCCAAGGTAGTCACCTGGTAACACAATTTCCGTACCGTGAAGAGAACGACGAGTTCTACAGTTTCGATCAAGCTTTGCTGTTGGAAGAATGAGACCACTGTACAGAAATTAAGTCAGTTTTTGTTGTAGTTTGTGGAATGTGAATTGAAACTTTAGGATTATACATGTTAATGTGGTCTCTTGTCGGCTGTTTGAATTGTTAATAACAATCCTAAATTGTCAGTAATTAAGTTTAATTTGTTGTTGTCGTGACTTAGTATTACCACCTAGTACTACTCATCTTCACTTGTAAATGATGGGTCTTATGTTCGATTCTTATGAATCACCGCCTAGTCGATACCAATTTATTCCCCCCACCCTTTCATGTACATACATCGTTGTATCAGAAAAAAAAAAATTTAAGTTCATTTTGACACGAAAACAAAATTAAAGTCAGAAGACTCAGAACAAGAAGTTAATGAGTATTTTGACAGGATAGGACAGGAAATTCCATCTAATCATTCCTTTTCTATATGTTTATGAACAGGAAAGTGTCGTTTTCATATATGAAAGAAAGAAATTGTCTCCTTCCAAATAACAACAAATCAACAAATGTAATGTACATGCTTTCAATGAATTAACCATTTACACAATCAATACTAATCTTTGGCACACTTATGGAACAATTTTGGGTATATTTGGTTTGTAATGGGGATGTTCTTCTCCGAGCAAAAGGGCCCTCAGAATCGCCTCACATAAACCGGTATAATGCACAAGCAAATGTCCGCCATCAGGAACTTCGTGATACTGAATCCAGGGTAGCTTACTTGAAACATATCTTTGAAGTTCATACGGCACAACTTTATCTTCGTAACCTTGCCAGATGTGAACAGAGCGCTGGTTTTGCGGGAATGGGTTACTGAGATCCATGGGATCAAAATCCCACGGTGTGAAAGCCAATTTGAAGTCATGATGCAGAGTATCGAAAACCACTCGTTGTCGTAGCTTCTCCTGTGGGTGTGCATACATAAACATTGTCACAGTAATCATGATACAGAAACGATTAATATGTAAATCGGTTCATAGGAAGCAGCCTTTACAACCACACACCATGGAGTGCACGTTATGACTTGGTTTTACCTGAGTGAGCATTGGGAACCCTGGTATTACTTTCAGGACATCCATGTCTTTGCTGTTGAAGAATACCGGGTTTCTTTCCATGACAGACGTTGAGGGGAGCCATTTCTGAGTTACCCACCACCGCAGTAATCCCGGGGCAAATTCTGCAAACAAGAGCCCCCAATGTATGAGTTTCCTGCGGTAATCATCCTTTATTAGTTTCTCGGGAAGAGAAGGCCACCGGTAATTCACAACTGGAACTACTAAGGCCACACCTGCGAGCCTACACAAGCGAATGTGATATAAGAAATTCGAATAGCAGAAAGTCATGAATCTAGAATCCAAAATTCAGTGTATTTACCTGTGTGGTATATGTTTGATGCAACTCCAGGTGGAATACGATCCCATTGAGACTCCAATGACATAAAACTTTGACCCTAACTCTAACTGATCGGCTAGCTGTTCGATGTCAAGGGCTTCACTCTTGACCGAACGCTTTGGATTCGGATCACTTTCTCCATAACCAGCCCGATCGTAGAGCAGGAAATATATCCCCAACTCATCAATTAATTCCTGGAAACTGAAGCATTGTGAAAACCCAACCCATTTCGACATTTTTCTTTAAACTGATACTTTAGAACTGCTTCTTTAACCGAACCATATGATCAAAATTAGGAATTTTTGTTGTAAACCAAGTGTATATTTGAACTCATAAACAAAGAAAACCCAATGATATTCACAAGCATAAATATTTCAATTCGTTGACTTTTGCAGATACAAATACTCTGAACAGATTTTTACCAAACTCAAAAATTCAATTTTCTTTCTTACTTGATCAAGATTCATAGTCTTTTGATACAAGCGATATTGGGGAGAGGGAAATCCAACTCAAAAACCTAGCGAGGGACGAATGCTCTTAACCAACTGAATTGTAATCCCGTCGCATACATCCCTCATTTCATTGATTTCAATTGTAATATATCTCCTACTTGAATTTAAACACAGAATTTGCTAAAACCTTGAGATCAAGAGGAAGAGTAGTTACTTGGGGAGCGAGGAAATTCATTTCCTTTGAGCTTCCAAAGCCATGAACCATGATGATCTTGTAGTTTGCCTTGCTCTTGGGGACCCCACTTTCTCTGTAAGCCAGATGCCGTCCATCTGCAAGCTTGATTCTTGGTGAAGCTGCAGCAACTTCTTCTGCTTCTTCAGCCACATCACTTGGTTTTGAAATCTTCCCTGAAAACCCAAAACCAAAAAATGGCAGATTAATTTAATTTCTTGGACCCAAATATTCGATTGAAAAAAAAAAAAAAAAAGAAGATGAAAACTCACCGGGCATGATTTTCTCTGTTGGGTTTCTGGGATTTCAAAAGATTAATTGGTGATTAGTGTAATTCTGTTTTTTTTCGTTTTTCTTTGTTTTTTTTTGTTTTTTTTTGAATTGCAAAAGCTTGATGGGCTTTTACTTTTGTATCCAGAAAAGTGGCAGTATACCTGGATATACTTTTGAATGTTCCCCTACTATTATTTTATTTCTATATGTACCCTACCAATTTTCTATCTACACCCGTTTCCATGTTATATTTTTTTCACTAAGTTTCCATTTTTACCCCTCACTCGTTCCCTTCTTTTCTTTTCTTTTTCTCCCCTCACCGCACTCCGTTATCACCACCGACGAAAACCGCTCTAACTCGGGCGACCACAGCCACGACTTTGATGACGCATTGGCCGACACCAATCACCCCTTAGACTATTTAATATTTATGCTTAGACTATTTAGCTTTTTTTTCCTCCTCTATGAATTGGATATTCAGCTACCCTTACATGTTATATGCTTTATTGTGACAATCTCACTGTTTCTCGTCTTGCTAATATTCTAGTTCATCTTACTCACACTCGCCACCTTGAGCTTGATTGTCACTTTGCTTGTAAAAAGGTTTGCTTTTGATAGTCATTGTGTTAATTATATTTCTTTTACATTTAATTTAGACAACATTCGTAAAGATGACATCCTTTAATTCCCACACTATATTTGGACGGTGGCAAGCCAAAACCTACACCTAACAAGTTGCTGGCTTTTCAGCCGTTGTGCGCTAGCCCCTTACTAGTAAAGGGGTTGCTTGCTGTAGCACGCAATGTGCTTAGTGAATAGGAAAAGCGGGTCAAGATTATTAATAACAAATGGAGACACCAAGAACATGTTCGATGCCTTATCCTTATCTCCTTCTCAAAAACTGTAAATGATGAAAATCCTATCAATAAAGATTGAGAAACTTGTAGGTACCTTATATTAATTAAAAGGGAACAACAAAAGATTAGATACACAAATTTGAAATGCACTACATGATTATTATTATAAAAACATATATTAAGGATATACAAATGCCTAATTTGCAGAGCCCAAAGAATTGGGCTGAGAATATTTTTTGATTTACCAATCATTTGTGAGATTGAAACGGCAGCTTCTGCTGCCATATGCCAGCTCACATCGCCTGTTACTGAGTTTGGCAATTTGATTCTAACCAGCTGATGTATAGCCACGTGGCACATGTTAGCTGGCAGCCTGCACCACAAAATACAAGAAAAACTTCCAATTAAGAATTAATTCGGATTATTATTTCACAAGTCATGTAATGAGTTAACGTTTTATTTATTACAAGCGATATGCAGTAATAATTTACACTAAAGCAAGATGGTGGAGAGTGTTTGTTGTTAAGGTCTAAAGTGAATAATTAATTTTAATTTGTTTAGTTGTTTATGTGACAATAGCTGGCTAGAGATAAATGGTTAGGATTAGATTTTTAGTCTTAAGCTCATATGTGAGCAAGTGGCAAGGTCTCATATGACTTTGTTTATTCATGGTTAGATGAGCTCATAGGCAAAGCCGGCTTTGAGGGTGTGCAAGTGGTGCCACCGCACAAGGCTCCCTAATTCAGAAGGACCCTTGATTACGATTATATATATATATATATATATATATATAAATTTAAATTTGCAATGATAAACCAAATTCTTCTTGTAGTGTGACCATGAACTGGGGTCAACTCTACCCAGTGGTGTTTTATTTATTTATTTATTTTTTGTTATTTAAAGCATGGCGTTTATTTTGTGTTTTATCTTAATTTCTTTTCTGTTTCATTTTAATTTTTTGGGTCTTTAAAAGCATGAGTTGTGTTTTATTTTTATTTTTTGTTATTTAAAGCATGGTGTTTCACACCCAAAAACATAGAAGATGTAAATAGTTATGTAGCCATCACACTAAGATTCTTTTTTATAGATCATCTCAATTATATATGATCATAATTAAAATGTAAAAAAAAACATAGAAACCAAATGTTAGACCTTCTGAGGGCTTTTTTTTAGGTATGTAAAAACAAAGAGTCTTGAACCCAAAAACATAGAACGCAAATAGGTACCTAAGCACTACACCAATTCTATACTTTTTAAGGGCCTCTCTCGGAGTCTCGCACAGTTCCCCAATCTTAGGACTGGCCCTACTCATAAGCTCTCCTATATTTCCTATAGTCTAACGGCATTTTGTACTGATGTGATGAATGTGAATATACAAACACAGAAAGCATGACTTGTGCTCTCTGAGATTTGGATCCAAGTTTTGCATCACCATTTTTCTCTCTATGCAATTCTTCTTGCTGCTAATACCAACTGAAATTATGATTGAGTTCCCAGAATCCAACAGAGAGAGAGAGAGTTTGAATTTGAGACGTCGTGAGTTGAAGAAGAAGACTCTAATCACCAAGCCACCCAGGTACGGACCTTTAAAATTAATTACAAAACAAGTTCACTTATTCTAAACTCCGCTAAAACACAAAAGAAAACAGAGGATGTGTCCACATCCCCTATCTGCACTTGGAGCAGTCTTCCAAACACAAATCATTGAACCACCCTTAAATTCATAATTTCGTACGAATAAATGAAACCATTTTATTTTATTTTTCTAGCAAGATGTTAGCATGCGAATTTACTTTTTTAGAGAAAACATCAAGAGCAGAAACTACTTTTGCAATGGACTAGTGTCGTAAGAGCATTTACTTTTGCACACAAAGTTTCGTGTTCGTTCCCTCAGTTGACAATATCAAGTGGTAAAAAATGTTCCTACTTTCTTTACCTCTAAATAGTAATCCTAAATCTAGGGTTTACCCATGCACTATAATATTCTTACGTTTATAGTTTCTTGCTTGTGGGACTTCGGTGCCTCACTTTTAACATGATTCTAATTTCCAAGCACAAGACAAGACCTAATTACAAAGAGCATTGCAAATACACACAACTAATTTTTTTATTTTTACGGGTTTTTAATTGTTTGCGCGGATCTTGTCTTTTTTAGTTTAGCCATTTAGGGTGCGTTTGTTGCATCGGACTATCTCAGACTTGATTAGCTTCAGGGACTAAACTGGATTGGCTTAGACTAGACTAAGCTGGATTAACTTAGTGAAACGTTTAGTGCAGTGTCAGACTAAAAAGAAGGATAATTAATAAACTATAATATTATATTATTTATTGTATATCTAATATTATATTATAATTTTATTTATTTTATTATTTTATGAAATCATCTACCTCTCTCTAATGGCCAATATTTTTTTATTTCTAGAATCATCTCTCACAAAACCTATTTTCCTCCGCCACTCTCTCCCTCCCCTCTCCCAGTTTCACCATTTTTGTCTAGAATATCTATCTCTCTCTAACAAATTCTAGAAGGCACGACAAATCAATTCAAAGATTTCGGTTTTGGTCGAATTGGGGTCTGGGTTCTTGGTGGGGTTAAACCCAGATGAGAAATGGGCCACTTAGGTTGGTTTTTTCTGGGTGTTCCAGGACAAATTGGACGACGGCTTGGACGGCTGGACTGATTAGGAAGGTTACTTTCTTCATCTTCCTCTTCTGGTGTTTGTGATTGGATGTTGGTGGGTTTTATTTTTGGGTTATGCGTCGGATTCCATCGATTCAGAGAGAAAGAAGAGAGAGATAGTTGTTAACTTTGGAGGTGGCTGCTGGTCTGGGAGGTGGGTGGCTAAGGGTAATTGCAGACTTACTCTTCTGGGTTTTCTGGGAGATGGGGAAGTCTACAATCGTTGATAAGAGGGACGAAGCAAGAAGGGGCGAAGCGGATTAGCAGTCCGCTCAATATTGGGGGTCTCGCTAAGACCGGCTAGAGAAGCCTTTAGTTTGGGCGAGTCCCTTCTAGTCTCATTAAAACTAGTAGCAGCGCCTAACAAACATGGGATTGGCCTAATACTTAGTCCAATCCAGTCTAGTGAAAGCCAGTGAAGGCAAACAAACGCACCCTTAGAGTTATTACTTTTAAGTTACGTTCAGATCTATGTTTTGTAAACATCTTTTATGCATTCTCAAAGTTATTTGAATGAATATCTTTATTTCTTAAAAAATAAATAAATAATTATTTTCATGAACTCAAAACTTCTTCCAACAAAATAAACACGGGTGCCACATTATAATGGCTCAAATAGTGCTACTTTATTCAAATTTCATTAGTAAATTTCGTGACTGGCATTATTAAGCTACAATGTGATATATTATGAAATTTTCTTGCAGAGTATATATAAAATTGTATGGAAAATACACAAGTCACATAAGAAACCTAAAAAAAAAAATAACCAAAAGACGTAACATACAAAGGTTCTTCTCCGAGCACAAGTTCCCAGAAAATGGCTTCACATAGAGCACTCTCCTGAATCAACAGATGACCACCATCTTCAACATCATGGTACTTAATCCATGGTAGCTTCACAACATACCGTTGTCATTCATACGGGACCAGTTTATCTTCATTACCCTGCCATAGGTGAACAGAGCCTTTATTATGAGCAATGTTCGGCGCTAGGGGGCTGTCCACTGCACCGATTAATTCTTAGAAGTTTGAAAATTAAGAAAGTGCACTTAGACCCACCTAGACCGCCTAGACACCTGCCTAAACCACCTATCTCGACTCTCACTTAGACATATAAAATCGATAACTTTTATTTTGCATTTTAATTTTTTAATAAAATGTAAGAGACTTGTTGAATACTTGGATAAACACTCATTATACGGCCGTTTCCCATGTTTTCAATATGGTCTAATACTTTATAATCTATATCTCATTTTATTTTTGTAATTTATGTATACCAAAATAATTATGTGTTTTTTAAGTATAAATACACACTTATTTATACAATATATAATAAATTAGTTAAATCCGTCTAGTCTGCCTAGGCGCTAGACTCCAGCTCGTTGCCCGCGACTAGTGTCTAGCATCTTTTAGAACCTTGATTATGAGGAAATGGATCTTTCAGGTCCATGGGATCGAATTCCCAATTGCCAAAGTGCACTATTAGGTCCCTGAGTGTGGAGATACTCATCAACTCCTTTGTTGTCTTTGTCTTATCTTGCAAACACTAGTGAAAAACTTTATGTGTTTTATATCACACTATTTGGTAGGATTATGGGAGCGTTTTTTGCGCG